GTTGGACACGACTTGGCAACCTTGTCAATGGGGAATACCTTTACCTTTTCCTTGTCCTTACAATAACATTTTGGTACATTGCTCCTTCTGTTTCAGTAGCCCAGTATAGTGCTGGCAGATTTTTCTCTGGTAACTGACAGTTGAAAAGGTTTGGCCCTGTTCCCTTTAGGGAGTTGTAGACTCTTGGGACACACCAAAGTTGAATAGCCAAGACCTGTTACAGTACATATGCTTCAATTGTCCCAATTTGGCAGGGACAGTCCTGACTAATCCTGTCATCCCACTTTGTCAACTGCTTTTAAAATGTCCCAATTTCTCTCTCTTCCTCCTATTTCAGCCCTTTATTCCCAGGTTATTTCAATTTCTGCAGACTGAGTTCAAAGTGAACAGTAGTTTGCACTCAATTTAACTCAGAAGACGAGGAAGAGGAGAGGACCTAGACAAAAGCAAACTGCTGCAGCTTCTCCTATCTTGAATGTTCATCCTCATTAATAACTTTTGCCATCCTGACCATACTATGACATTGCTTGACCACATGTATGGCAGTTTTCATCTATTAAATGTTGGAGGGTATGAAAATTGAAGCTCCCATAATTTTCTAATCTTAAAAGTTTTTTTTAATCTGAAATTGTTCAGTAGCTACATATAAGAATAAGTAGTTTAATATTCTCAATTTTGTTTAATATTCTCAGTTTCAAAGATAGTCAATATAGGCATAGGCTTTTTTTTCTATTTAACAGAGCCAGTGTGGCATAGTGATTTGAGCACTGGACTACAACTCTGGAGACCAGGGTTCAATTCCTGGCTTGGCCATGAAATCTACTGGGTGTCCTTGCGCATGTCACACTCTCTCAGCCTCAGGGGAAGGCAATTGCAGTCCTCTCAACAAATCTTGCCAAGAAAACCCCATGATAGGTTTGCCTAAGGGTCACCATAAGTCAGAAACAACTTGAAGGCACACAATAAGACAAGTGTTACAAATTGCCTCTTCTATGCCTTTTAGCAAGAAATACACATACTTATATGCCCCCAGTTTCCACCCAAAACACATTATAAAATCTGTTGTTTACAGCCAGACCTTCAGATACAATTGCATATGCTAAGACACCCACAAAACAGAGACTCAGATCTCTTGAGTTTACAATAGGCATTTCTTAAACTACATTACCCCCCTAAAGAGTACAGTAGCAGGTGAATTAATGCAACCTTCCAGATGATGCTGGACTACCACTTCCACTTTTCTCTCCATTTGCAGTGCTGGCTAGAGCTGCTGAATGATGCAGTCAAACAACACTAGGTGACTGCATAATTCCTAACTCTATTTACAGCAGCCATGTGAATAATTAAGGTACCTTCCCTTATCCTTCTTGTCAAACACCACCTGTCTTACCCTGCTGTGAGAGTTTTCTTTTTGTGCTTGTAATGCAAGAGAAATGCTGAAACGGAGTGGATCAGAAATTTTGGAGTAAGATGACTTGAACTATCAGAAATTATTTTTTTTCTCTCCTTCCCTCCAAAAAAAGAGAGCCAACGTGGTGTAGTGGTTCAAGAATTGGAATATGACTCTGGACAGCAGGGCTCGAATCCTTGCTTGACCATGAAAACCCACTGGGGGACTTTGGGCAAATTACACTCTCTCAGCCTCGCAAGATGCAATGGCAAACCTCCCTCTGAAGAAACTTGCCAAGAAAACTTTGCCTTAGGCTTGACATAAGTCAGAAAGGCACACAACCGACACACACATGACTGTGCCCCTAGAGAGGCCCAAACCTTATTTGTTTTTGTTAAAGGTCCGTGTTACAAATCTGGGCAGTATTAACTGGATGCAAATGAAGCTTTAATAAATAAAAATAAAACCCATTAGATCCTCCTCTCCCAATTTCCCTTCTCTTGCCACTTTGTGCTCAAGGGTGGTCGGCTCTTATGCTGGTTATGCATAGATGTAAGGTATACTGATTTCAAAATCAATTTGAAGGCAGAATGCAATCTGCCTTCTCACTTGTGGCAAGGAGCAACTGCTTCCTGAACAGCAAAATGTCTTTTTGATTAAACAGAGCTTAAACACCTGCTATAGCAGAACACATAGCACAGAGATTATTACAAAAGCCAAGGCTGTTAGGTTAAACATCACATGCAGCCTCCTTTCCCTGGCTCAGTGGTCACCACTGAGCTTGGCTATGGAGGCTGAACTCAAGCTTTCTTTATCAAGCTTTCTTTATTAAGAACATAGTTGAAAGGTTCAGTAAGGAAGCAGGAACACTTGTTCAACCATCCCAGTTTAACTGTACTGTATTTGTATTTAGATAGCTTGTTTCATAATTGTTTTACATTGTTTTTCCACTGGTATTACTCACTTCCTTCCCTGATATTCTCTCTCTCTCTCTCTTTTCTTTTTCTTAAATTAAATCATAAGCCTTTGGCAGGGCTGTCTGTCTCTTTTATTAATTCTTTTTTTCTGTGAAGTGCCAGGTACATTGATGGCACTACAGAAAATAACAACAGAAAGCCAAAGCATCTTCTTAGCTATACTGGCATTAAAAGGATGTGCTCAAATTTCATGGCTAATTAATATACTAAAAATTTCCAGGGATGAACATTTCTTTTAAAGGAATAGCCAATGTCAGGGATGATGGGAGTTGTAGCTCTTCACCTCTGGCTCT